AAAGTCCAATTTAACCCCAGTGTTTCTCTGTTAATTTTCTGTCTCAATGATCTGTCTAGTGCTATGAGTGGGGTGTTAGAGTATTTCACTATTATTGTATTACAGTCTATCTTTTTCTTTAGGTCTAGTAATATTTGCTTTGTGAATTTGGGTGCTCTGATATTGGGTGCAAATATACAAAGGATTGTTATATCCTCTTGCTGAATTAACCCCTTTATCATTATATAATGACCTTCTTTGCACTTTTTACTGGTTTTTATTTAATACCTGTTTTATCTGATGTGAAGTATAGCTACTCCTGTTTGCTTTTCATTTCTATTTGTGTAGAGTATGTTTTTCCACTACTTTACTTTTAATCTATGGGTATCTTTATGGGTAACTGAGTTTCTTCTAGGGAGCATATTGTTGGATCATGTTTTAAAAATCCTTTCTGCCAACCTGTATCTTTTAAGTGTAACATTTAATCATTTACATCCATGATTAATAACAATATGTGAGGCTTTGTTCCTGTCATATTGTTAACTGTTTTCAAGTTCTTTTATAAATGCTTTGTTGGTTTTTCTTTTTCTCCTTTTGTCTTTGCGGTTTGATGAAATTCTTTTGTGTTGCCATTTCATTCCTTTTTCTTCCTCCTTTATGTGATTGTTTTATGAGAACTGTGAGTTTGATCTTTCAATGCATTTTCATGATAGTAAATATCAACCTTTTGTTTCCATGCTTAAGACCCCTTTAAGTATTTTCGGTAGGGTTGGTGTAGTGATAACAGAATCCCTCAGAATTTGCTTATCTGAGAAATACTTTATTTCTTTATTTCTTCTTCTTTTTTTTTTTTTTTGCCTGCTTCTTCTTCTGAGACTTTATTTCTCCTTCATTTATGAAGCATATTCTTGCAGAATAAAAAATTATTGGCTAATAGTGTTTTTCTTTCAGCATTTTGAAAATGCTATCCCATCCTCTTCAGGCATATAAGATTTCTGCTGAAAAGTCCACTGTTAGGCTGATGGGAGATCCTTTATAGATGACTAGGCACTTTTCTCATGCTAATTTTAAAATTATTTCTTTCACTTTCACTTTATACATTCTGAATATAATATGCCACATGAAATTTTTTTTACAATGTATTTGCTGGGCATTCACTAGGCCTCCTATATCTGGATATGTAACTCTCTTAATAGACTTGGGAAGTTTTCATCAATTATTTCCTTAAATAGGTTCTCTAAACTTTTAGATCTCTCTTCCTCCTTGAGCATACTGATAATTCATAAGTTCAGTCTCCTTATGTAGTCCCAGATGTCTTAAAGGCTTTATTCATTCTTTCTTATACTTTTTCCTCTTACTTTTGTCTTTTTTTTCCTTTTTTGAGACAGGGTCTTGCCTTGTTGCCCAGGCTGGAGTGCAGTGGTGTGATCCGAGCTCACTGCAGCCAAGTTCTGAGATCCTTTCTTTTGCTTGGTCTAGTCTATCATTGAAGCTTTTGAATGTATTTTCTATTTCCTTCAATGAATTTTTTACTTCCAGTATTTATGCTTTATTTTTTCTTTTAATTTGAGACAAGGTCTCACTCCAATGCCCAGGCTGGAGTGCAGTGGTGTGATCTTGACTCCCGAGGCTCAGGTGATTCTCTTACCTCAGTGTCCTGAGTAGCTGGGACTACAGGCACACACCACCATGCACAGCTAATTTTTGTATTTTTTATAGGGACAGGGTTTTGTCATGTTGCCCAGGCTGGTCTGGAACTCCTGGGCTCAAGTGATCCATCCATCTCTGTCTCCTGAAGTACTAGGATTACAGGCATGAGTCACTGTGCCTGGCACTCTGCTTTTTTTTCTTTAAAGGATGTCTATCTCCTTGGTAAATTTCTTATTCATATTCTGAATTGATTTTCAGATTTCTTTGTATAGGTTTTTCAGGTTTCTCTTGCATCTCATTGAAGTTCTTTAAAATAAGTATTTTGAATTCCTTATCTGGCATTTCAAGGAATTATTTTTGATTGGGATCTGTTGCTGGACAATTGTTGTGGTCCTTTGGTGATGACATAGTTTCCTGCTTTTTTATGTTTCCTGTATCCTTCCATAGATATCTGTGCATGTAGTGTAGCAGTTGCTTGTTTCAAGTTTTTTGAAATTGCAGGAGATAATTATTTCCTGAAAAAATATATATGTTGTTGATTGAGTAAAATGCTTTGACTTTGATTTTGGGTGCCTGCACTAATGTGATTTCTGTGCGACTTTTTAGGCAGCATACAGGGTCAGTGGTATCTGTGATTTCCTCAGTGACATAGGATACAGCTATTAGTTTAGGTTGTAGTGAAGATCAACTGGGGACTTGGACACCAACTAAACCAGTCTTCAGGACTTAATGGTGGCAGCTATGGGGTGAGTGTGCCTGTTTTTAGGTCCCAGAGCAGCTTACACTGGCTTTTGCTGTTAGTGGGTCCTGATTCTTAGACCTCCAGGCCAGGTGGCTTGTTTAGCAGCGAGTAGTGGGAACAGTAGACTAGGTGTGTAGATGGGTTCTTAGGTGCCTGGTCAGCTGGTTTGATGTGGGTGATGGTGGTTGCAGTGGTGCAACAATCCACTGGGAGCCAAGCAGTCCATACTAGTGTTGCAGAAAGCTGCAATGGGTTGAGCAGGCAAGTTCCCAGTCCCTCAGCTGCCTGTAGCAGGGTGGTGGGTATTCTCCTAAATGTGCTTAGGAGATCTTGATCTCCCCTGTCTCTCCCATGGCTCAGTGGCAGCTGCAGCTGTATCACCTTGAACTTACCCCAAGGATAGAGTACAACCCAGTGTTAAACTCTCAAAATGGTGCCAGCTCTGGGCTTTTGATCAGAGAAGGTGGGGCCCCCTCTCAGGTGAGCAGCATTGCAAGAAGCTGTGGGGAGTGTGGTCTGCTTGAGTCTATGTCTCACAGAATTAAATAGCAGGGAGGTTTTAGATATTGTCCCAGGTGTGCATTGAAGAGCCTGGTTTCTCTGGCTGTCCCTGGCCAGGTGACAACTGCTACCATGTCAACTCAAACTCAGGCCAAGAGCAAGGTGTGACTCTGCATTAAACTCTCCAAATGGTGCCTTGGGCCTGTGACCGGGAAGGGTGAGGTCACTTCCAGGCAGGCAATGTAGGCAAAAAGCTATGGGGATTGAGGTCTGCTTGTCTCACAGCAGCCCACTGCAGGGCAGTGGGTATTGTCCTAGATATGTGTAGGTGAGCTTGGTTTCCCTGATTCTACTTGGCTGGGTGGTGGCTACAATCCCATTGGCCTGAACTTAACCCAAGTGGAGGGCACAGACTGGTGTTAAACTCTGAAAATGGCATCTTGGGCCTGGGACCAGAGAGGATGGGGTGCCTCCCAGTTGAGCAGCATAGGCAAGAAGTTGTGGGGAGTATGGCTTGCTCTTATCTCAGTCTCAGCAGCCTGCAGCAGTGACGTAGGGACCCTCGTAGGGGTATGTGGGAGCACCTATCCCCCCTCTCCTTCCCTGGATCAGTGCGGTGGCCACAGCGGTATCTGTAGATCCCCAGTATCTAACCTGTCAAAATGGCACCTAGCTGAGGCAGCCCTAGGCTTAGATGCCTGTGGGATTCTGTGTGGGTTTCCTTTCTGGAAGAAGGTCTCCATGCAATTTTTAAGCAGCTTCATATATCGGGCCCAAGGCCCTACTGGGCCAAGGGTTTCTCCCATAGCCAAGATTGTAAAAACCCATTTCGGAGCCCTGGGATTTTCTCCCTTACTGTTTTCCCATGTCCAGGGGCCTCTTTCGATTCTCAGTCAGTCCCCAGCTGGGCAAGCTGCCTCAAAGCCTATCCTTACTTACTTCTGGTGTTTCCTGTCTCTTCTCTGGTGAATCCTAGCATTCTCTCCTAGATGGTCTGTTTGTAATGCATCTACTTGCTGTTCTGGTTCCTCTCTGTAGAGGAAGTGCATATTACTTGCATCTAGTCAGCCATCTTTACCCCCTCTGGATGTTTATACTGTTAATGGATAATTAGAGTTTATATAAAAAAATACTTCAGAAGGAGATGACTGCTCTCATGGTCAAAAAGAAAAAAAATATTTTATCTTCTTTTGGTTTTGAGAGACAGGGTGTCACTTTGTCACCCAGGCTGGAGTGCAGTGGCACGATCATGGCTCACTACAGCCTTGACCTCTCTGGGCTCAGGTGATCCTACAGCCTGAGTCTCTCAATTAGCTGGGACTACAGGTGTGCAACACCATGGCTGGCTAACTTTTGTATTTTTGTAGAGACAGGCTTTCGCCATGTTGCCCAGACTGGTCTGGAACTCCTGGACTCAGTTGACCCACCCACTTCGGCCTCCCAAAGTGTTGGGATTATAGGCATGAGCCACTGCTCCCAGTCTTTATCTTCTTAACCATGAGATTGTTGTCACAAATGAAAGGCTAAACATAAGAAACAAACGTCGTTGCTAAATATAAAGGAAACTGGCAAGTGTATAATATGATGAAGTTAATATTGATTAGAAAATCCAATTATTTCTATGGTTTATTCTGATATATCCCAAGATAGCTGTTTGTCAGCAGGTGAACTTCCTATTTAATTGGCATGATTGAGTAATTAGACGTATTCTCAGAGCAGCAATAAAATGAAATTCTCATGTCTCAGTAACATGGTCGAGGTTTTTGTTTTGTTGTTTTACTCTTGAGTTTATCCAACTGAGACCAAGTAGACTTTGTTTTATCTGGAAATAATTTTCAATTTAATATTTGGTAAGTGTGTGGTTATATAATTATTTTAATCATAAGAATTATGGAAAAATTTACAAACTTGACAAAAAATTGTGATAATTTACCTTTTTCTCATACTAAATCCTTTAAGGCCTCACTGTCTTTTTCCTGGGTTCCTGCAGGAGCCTTCTGATTGGCTTCTCTCTGTGCGTTACAGGACTTTTCCTCAGGTCAACTTATCTTCTAGAAGAGAAATTTGATCTTTGTACCATGTAATCTATATCATAATGCGTTCCTCTGTAAATAACAGAAAACTGTACTACAGTGGCTTAAACAAATAGGGGTTTATTTGTCTCATCCATTACAAATGTGGGGATAGGTACAGTGGCTTCAAATTGCTTCCAGGGTTCCAGTCTCTTTTCATCTTTCTGCTCTGCCATCCTTACTATATAGACATTCACCCTCATGCTAGTTGTGGCATGAATTCAAGATGACTGCTTCACCTCCAGGCCTTGTTTCTACATTCTAGGCAGGAAGAAGGTAGAGGGTGAAAAGGACAAAAAGGATTAAAAAGTCTCAAGAAGACTTTGCCTTTTTCCATAAAGGGAAGCCCTCCTTGAGCACTTTTGACTAGTTGCAAAGGAAGTGGAGAAATTAGGTACTTTGGTTATTTTAGCCTTAATAGTAGAAGTAAAGAGGAAGGTAGATATTATTGGTTTTTCAATAGCCAAACCATAGTTTTTATTATATACTCTCTATTCCATATAAGATCTTCAAAGGTTCATCATTGCTTACAGTGTGAAGTCTATATCTCTTATTATTGTGTAGTATGATGTTGTAGAATGATTTCTTACCTAACTTCAAGAATTTATAGACAACTTAACTTCATTTTTGCTAATGTACCTGTATTAGTCAGGGTTCTCCAGAGAAATAGAACTAATACGATGTGTAGATGTATAGAAAAAGGCTTATTTTAAGGAACTGACTCACCTGATTATGAAGACAAGCAAGTCTGAAATCTGCAGAGTGGGCTGTCAGGCTGGAGACTCAAGAAGAGCCAACATTGCAGTTCAAGTCTGAAGGCCATCTGCTGATAGATTCTTTTTAACTCAGGGGAAGTCAGCCTTTTGTTCTATTTAGAGCTTCAATTCACTGGGTAAGGCCCATCTAAATTACGAAGGGCAAACTGCCTGACTCAAAATCTACTGATTTAAATATTAATCTCATCTAAAAACATCCCCCTGGAAACATCCAGAATAACATTTTATCGTACAGTTACACACTGTGGCCTAGCCAAGTTGACACAAAACATTAACCATCACAGCACCTAAATTAAGCATGCTTGAGGGCCGGGCATGGTGGCTTATGCCTGTAATCCTAATACTTTGGCAGGCTGAAGTGGGAAGATTGCTTGAACTCAGGAAGTCAAGACTGCAATGAGCTATAATTGCACCACTGCACTGTAGCCTGAGTGGCAGAATGAGGCCCCCCCCCTCTCTCTGTCCAAAAAAAAAAAAAAAACACGTTTGAACACCAGGAAAGAATGACTGAGAAAGATGAGCCCAAAGGGGTGACAGAGACGATATCACGCAGGGTAGTACAGGCCCTGATGAGGAAAGAGCAGCCTTTATATCAAGAGCAATAGAGATTAATGAAGCATTTTAAATCACTTCAGACAGGGGTTCCCAACCTCTGAGTGGCAGACTGGTACCAGTTGGTGACCTGTTAGGAATTGGGCTGCACAGCAGGAGGTGAGCAGCAAGTGAGCAAGCATTACTTCCTGAGTTCTGCCTCCTTTAAGATCAGTGGTGGCATTAGATTCTCATGAACCCTATTATGAACTGCACATGCGGGGGATCTGGATTACAAGCTCCTTATAAGATTCTAACTAATGCCTGATGTTCTGAGGTAGAACAGTTTCATGCCAAAACTACCCTCTCCATCCGTGGAAAAATTGTTTTCCATAAAACTGGTCCCTGGTGCCAAAAAGGCTGGGGACTGCTGACTTCAGATGTTTGCTCACCTATTTCCTCCTATCTTTATTCTGACCCTTCTTCCAACCAATGTAGTTTGTGTGGAATTGGCCTCAAATTAAGACGTTTAGCAACGTCTGGCTTAAGACGTTTGGCTTAAGATGTTTAGCAAACCTAATCCCATTGGCCACAGTGATTAGTTCAGGGATGGGTCAATAAGACACAGTATTCCATGTGCTGGAGCTTCTGAGAAAGTGTCCTCTTTTACTGTGTTTGCTGGAGTAACTATGTGATGCTTAGAAACTGCTGCTGCCATGTTGCTATCACTACAGGAGTAATCTTAAGATAGCACTGACACACAGAAAAGACAGAACTGTGAGATGGAGCTTGGTGACAGATTATAAACAGATTCATGTATCAAGCTGTAACTGAAACTCTTCTACTCCTAAATCTCCAGTTGGGACAGAAAATTACCTTTTATTATATTTAAAACCACATGACTTAGGCTTTCTATGCCTTGCAACATGAATATTGTTAATTAGTATATGTCAAGTAATCACATTTTCATTTTAGAAAGCTTATTTTGGTCTGTAGGGAGAATGGATTGTAAGGCATAAGGTAGGGAGACAAGTCCCAGTAATATTAGGTCACAGTTTAAAAATTTCCTTGGTTTACAAAGATGGTGCACCTCCGTTTCCAAGTTCTGGGCTCTTGCTGTTGCAGGGCAGACTATGGCTGCCAGGAAGCCACCCCAGGCACCCTGTCAGAGGAGAGCAGTACTTTGGACCTGCCATAAGCCTGTATGTGAGGGATTATGTCCTGCAGAGACCCAGCCAAGAGGCCAACAGCAAGGCTTTTAGTTCTGTGAAATTCCATTCTTTTCCTTGCTTTTCTGATGTGGATCCAGACACCAGTAGCCTAAATACTGAACGAAATGACTCTGGGACCACTGAGAACTTTTTTTTTTTTTTTGAGACAGAGTCTTGCTCAGTCATCCAGGCTGGAGTGCAGTAGCGCGATCTCGGCTCACTGCAAGCTCCACCTCCCAGGTTCACGCCATTCTCCTGCCTCAGGCTCCCTAGTAGTTGGGACTACAGGTGCCTGCCACTACGCCTGGATAATTTTTTTGTATTTTTAGTAGAGACAGAGTTTCACCGTGTTAGCCAGGATGGTCTTGATCTCCTGACCTCGTCATCCACCCATCTTTACCTCCTAAAGTGTTGGGATTACAGGCATGAGACACCGCACCCAGCCAAGAACTTTTGATTTCACCTTTCTGTGAAAGGCCAATCAGAGATCAAAGAAGAGGATAATGGACTTCAGAAATCTCTGGATAAATTCTATGAAATGTTTGGCTATCCAAATTTAGCCTCTGGGAATCCACTCTCTGCATCTGTCTGCCAGTGCCTGTCTCAGGAAATCCCTCAACTAAGAGTCCAGGAGAGCCAAAAGTATGCCCTCCATGTTTTCAAATGTCCCAGGTCATCTTTAACTGTGAGGCTGTTCAGTCTTGCAGAGGGACATCCACTTCTACTCACTGGAGGAAGGAAGTATGTCTGTAGAAAAGCCAACCCAGAACTTTCAAAAGATACTAATTTTCTCTTATGGCAGAATGCAATGAAAGACCCACAACTGGTGCCTGGTGGTGAACAGGCAGTATTGGAGGTATAGGCTATGACCAGTACTATTGGCAGCCATCCAGATCCCCCAGGGTCTCTTGCCAGCTCACTGTGCTCAATCTTAACTAAGTGATTTGTGGTTAAAGGCTGGCACCTGTGGCCTGGTGTTGGAGTCAGTCAGTCTGTATAGAAAGCAGCAGGGTCTGGGGATTTTATGTGCCTGTGGCTACTCCACCTCCCACTCCCCTTGGCTGAGGCCATTGACTGACAGGGTTAGGAGTCAAAAGCCCAGCTCCCTTCACAAGGAGGGACACCCTCTGAGGCAAAATTTATACTCCATAGGTCCCTCCCCTGGCAGTCAGGCCAATGCTGGGAGTTCACATGAAATCACACTCTTTCTGGGCTTCATCCCTTTCTCTGTCCTCCTCCCATTCATTTATGGGTCTGTCTGTGAGCCTTTCCTTAATTAACCTCTTATATCTGAAAAAAAATTGCTCTGTTCAATATTGCACTATTCATACACAGATCTCATATTTAAAATCCATTTCCAGGCAACCACCTTTGGTTCCCTTCCCTTTGTGTGGGAGCTCTGTTTTCACTCTATTAAATCTTGCAACTGCACTCTTCTGGTCTGTGTTTGTTACAGCTCAAGCTGAGCTTTCCCTTGCTGTCCACCACTGCTGCTTGCCGCCATTGCAGACCTGCCGCTGACTTCCATCCCTCTGGATCCGGCAGGGTGTCTGCTGTGCTCCTGATCCAGCGAGGCGCCTGCCCATTGCTGCTCCCTATTGGGCTAAAGGCTTGCCATTGTTCCTGCGTGGCTAAGTGCCTGGGTTCATCCTAATCGAGCTAAACAATTAGTCACTGGGTTCCATGGTTCTCTTCACTGACTGACAGCTTCTGATAGACCTATAACATTCACTGCATGGCCCAAGATTCCATTCCTTGGAATCCGTGAGGCCAAGAACCCCAGGTCAGAGAACACGAGGCTTACTACCATCTTGGAAGCAGCCTGCCACCATCTTGGAAGTGGCCCGCCACCATCTTGGGAGCTCTGGGAGCAAGGACCTCCCGGTAACATTTGGAGACCATGAAGGGACCTCCAAAGCAGTGAGTAATATTGGACCACTTTCGCTTGCTATTCTGTTCCATCCTTCCTTACTTAGAATTGGAGGAAAATACAGGGTACCTATTGGCTGGTTGGTCTGCCTGGAGCCAGCTTCTACTTTCCATTTTCTTGGAGAAGCTGAGGGCTGACTAGAGGCAGAAATCTGTCGTCTCAAACTCCTGGCATTGGCTGGTTGAGATCATGTTGCAGCTAGAACTCTCTACTCTACAGTCGCCCATGCATGTGCCCCTAACTTTCCTTCTGACCCATACCTCCTGGATCCCGACCATGACTTTCTTGAAAGTGTAGCCCCAAAATTCTCCTTACCTCTGAATTACTTCCTCTGATCCCTGCCTTCTAGGTCCTAATGGTTCAGACTTCCATTTCCTCTAGCAAGTTGTATCTCCAAAGGAATCTGAGGAAGCTCTATGCTGCATCCTTAGGCCTCTAGATGATAAACCCAGGGAGTCTTATCCCTGGTGTCCCTCCCAATTTAGGTATACAGCTTTCAACATGGGCAGTTATGTGGGACCTGTTTCCCACCACACTTGCCAGGGCCCCAAGTTTGTAATGGCTAAGAGAAGAGAGAGAGAGAGACAGAAGAGAGAGAGAGAGAGATGGAGGAGAGAGAGAGAGATGGAGGAGAGAGAGAGAGATGGAGGAGAGAGAGAGATGGAGGCGAGAGAGAGAAGGAGGAGAGAGAGAAAGATGGAGGAGAAAGATGGTCTCCTCAAATGTGTGAGCTCTTTGCACTCAGCCAAGCCTTGAAGTACTTACAGAATCAAAAAAGACTATCTCAATCCTGACTCAAAATGTTACCTATACCCTCTCTGAAATAAATTTGCATAAGAACTGTTGTTTATGGGAATGCATCTTGATGGGGCAGCTGGGTTGTTATGAAATACTCGGGAAGCCAGCCCAGCTCTAGGACTCACCCCTGAGCACAAAGGCAATGTTCGGCACGCTGGTAAAGGACCACTAGAATCCAGCAGCCCAGACCCCTTTCTTTGTGGTCAAGAAAGGCCGGAAAAGGGGTGCAGGACAGCTACATCGGTGAGCATAACTAATCCGATAAGCAGAGGTCCATGGGTGGTTATGCACTCTGGAAAGGAATAAGCATTAGGACCATAGAGGACGCTTTAGGACTAATGCTCATCGGAAAATGACTAGGGGTGCTGGCATCCCTATGTTCATTTTTCAGATGGGAAACGTTCCCCCCAAGAATTGGGACCAATTTGACCCTCAGATGCTAAGAAAGAAATGACTATATTCTTCTGCAGTACTACCTGGCCACAATATCCTCTTCAAGGGGGAGAAACCTGGCCTCCTGAGGGAAGTATAAATTATAACACCATCTTACAGCTAGACCTCTTTTGTAGAAAAGAAGGCAAATGGAGTGAAGTGCCATATGTACAAACTTTCTTTTCATTAAGAGACAACTCGCAATTATGTAAAAAGTGTGATTTATGCTCTACAGGAAGCCCTTAGAGTCAGGTAGCCCTCCCTACCCCAGTGTCCCCCGACTCCTTCCCCAACTAATAAGGACCCACCTTCAACCCAAATGGTCCCAAAGGAGATAGACAAAGGGGTAAACTATGAACTAAAGAGTGCCAGTATTCCCCGATTATGCCCCCTCCAAGCAGTAGGAGGAGGAGAATTCGGCCCAGCCAGAGTGCATGTACCCTTTTCTCTCTCAGATTTAAAGCAAATTAAAATAGACCTAGGTAAATTCTCAGATAACCTTGATGGCTATATTGATGTTTTACAAGGGTTAGGACAATCCTTTGATCTGACATGGAGAGATATAATGTTACTGCTAAATCAGACACTAACCCCACATGAGAGAAGTGCTGCCATAACTGCAGCCCCGGAGTTTGGCGATCTCTGGTATCTCAGTCAGGTCAATGATAGGATGACAACAGAGGAAAGAGAATGATTCCCTACAGGCCAGCAGGCAGTTCCCAGTGTACACCCTCATTGGGACACAGAATCAGAACATGGAGATTGGTGCCACAGACATTTGCTAACTTGCGTGCTAGAAGGACTAAGGAAAACTAGGAAGAAGCCTATGAATTATTCAATGATGTCCACTATAACACAGGGAAGGGAAGAAAATCCCACTGCCGGAGAAGTGGTTCCAAGATGGCTGAATAGGAACAGCTCTAGTCTACAGCTCCCAGCGTGAGCAACACAGAAGACGGGTGATTTCTGCATTTCCAACTGTGCTACCGGGTTCATCTCACTGGGGCTTGTTGGACAGTGGGTGCAGCACAGTGGGTGCAGCACAGTGGGTGCAGCCCACTGAGGGTGAGCCGAAGCAGGGTGAGGCACCGGGAAGTGCAAGGGGTCAGGGAATTCCCTTTTCTAGCCAAGCAAAGCAGTGACATAGATGGCACCTGGAAAATTGGGTCACCCCCACCCTAATACTGCACTTTTCCAATGGTCTTAGCAAATGGCACACCAGGAGATAATATCTCGCACCTGGCTCAGAGGGTCCCATGCCCATGGAGCCTCTCTCGTTGCTATCACAGCAGTCTGAGATCGAACTGCAAGGCGGCAGCAAGCCTGGGTGAGGAGCACCCGCCATTGCTGAGGCTTGAGTAGGTAAACAAAGTGGCCGGGAAGCTCAAACTGGGTGGAGCCCACCGCAGCTCAAGGAGGCCTGCCTGCCTCTGTAGACTCCACCTCTGGGGGCAGGGCATAGCCAAATAAAAGGCAGCAGAAACCTCTGCAAACTTAAATGTCCCTGTCTGACAGCTTTGAAGAGAGTAGTGGTTCTCCCAGCACGGAGTTTGAGATCTGAGAACGGACAGACTGCCTCCTCAAGTGGGTCCCTCACCCCCAAGTAGCCTAACTGGGAGGCACCCCCCAGTAGGGGCAGACTAACACTTCACACAGCCAGGTACCCCTATGAGACAAAACTTCCAGAGGAACGATCAGGCAGCAACATTTTCTGTTCAGCAATCTTTGCTGTTCTGCAGCCTCCGCTGGTGATACCCAGGGAAACAGGGTCTGGGGTGGACCTCCAGCAAACTCCAACAGACCTACAGCTGAGGGTCCTTACTGTTAGAAGGAAAACTAACAAACAGAAAGGACATCCACACCAAAACCCCATCTATATGTCACCATCACCAAAGACCAAAGGTAGATAAAGTCACAAAGATGGGGGAAAAACAGAGCAGAAAAACTGAAAATTCTAAAAATCAGAGCGCCTCTCCTCCTCCAAAGGAATGCAGCTCCTCCCCAGCAATGGAACAAAGCTGGACAGAGAATGACTTTGACGAGTTGAGAGA